CTACGCAGACCACGCGACGTGAATCACACATCAACAAGAAATACAATAAACACTCGTACGAAACTCGACCATCCAGCCCTCGATTTTCACCGGCTGTCGTCGAATGTCGAATGATCAGCGTTCGACCGTATTTCAATCTTCGTTGTTCCGCGACAGGGACAGCCTGTCGGATCGAAGACGCGGCTGAATTTTGATTGGGCCAGTTTTTCCCCGCGGACAATCCCTCGTGACAACGATATCGAGTCGTGACAGCGGCGTGTCGTGTCGAATGAAAGACCCACCACGTCTGGCCGCGCATGGCGCGGTAACAAAAGAGCGATACCGAGGGCCCGGGACAAAACGCGAAAAGGCTTTTGGAAACAAAAAAAAAAAAAAAGAAAGAAAGAAAGAAAGAAAAGAAGGGAGGGGGTGGAGCGTTTGAAACGAGAGAGAGTGGAACAACGAAGAGCAACAACGAAACGAAACAGACGGAGGATTTATAGTGTTTGCAGATATAACCGCAATACGCGGTATATGTTCGGTAGTCGGTTACAATGCCGCACGATAGAGCCAGCCCGGCACTCGTACAGTCGATCACGTGTCTGGCTTGTACCGCAATCGGGCTCATTGTCTGCCGACAAGAGTGGCGTGGATACAAAGCGTCCGGGGGCTTCGAGCTAGTCGCTGCATGTAGGCTGGCTAGTAAGCGTGTGCAACCGACGGACGTCATTGCGGTTCGATGCAACTAGACAATCTAGTGTAAATAGGGGTACAGCGGCGCGTGTACGAAACCCCCCCTCCCTTGCCCCGATCTGTGTTACGTGCCGATCTCGCGTTTCAGATCCTCGAAATCATTAGGCGGATTCGATGATACCGAGCTCGAGATTGAAATTGTCCAGCTAATACGATTACGAGGCAGTGCGTGAGGGCCAGCCCGATCCCGGCTAATAGCCCGCGCGAGCGAGCCTCGATGCTCCGTGTGATGGACGCGATTGACTGTTTCGGGTTTTAAGCCGATTGTCCGAATATCATTCTTCCGTGATCTACCCCCGTGACGATTGCATACTGCTCTAGCCCCGTTGAGTATCAACATTGCGAGTCTTTTCCTTGTGTTGGAGCAGAGATTTGTTTCGATGGGAATATACAATAGACAGTACACTATAAGTAGATGATTGCACACTGCTCTAGCCCTGTTGAGTATCAACATTGCGAGTCTTTTCCTTGTGTTGGAGCAGAGATTTGTTTCGATGGGAATATACAATAGACAGTACACTATAAGTAGATGATTGCACACTGCTCTAGCCCCGTTGAGTATCAACATTGCGAGTCTTTTCCTTGTGTTGGAGCAGAGATTTGTTTTGATGGGAATATACAGTAGACAGTATATTATAAGTAGATGACTGCACGTTGCTCTAGCCCCGTTGAGTATCAACATTGCGAGTCTTTTCCTTGTGTTGGAGCAGAGATTTGTTTTGATAAGAGTATATAGTATAGTATAACGAGGCTAGACCCCGTGCCGATTCTAGTTACTCTAGCCTCATTAAGGATGAAGTTTGCGAATCTTTTCGTCGTGGGAACAGAATTCTGTTTTGATAGG